TTCCTTGAATTTTTCTCCTTGTGACTTTGTATCTGGCTTACATTGTTTACTTGTTCTGTTCACTAGAGACTTCTTAGGGCCGTTAACCACTACAAGGTAATCTGGATAGGAAGTGACGACAAGAACGCCGTTGACATCGATACCGTATCTTGCGTCACACTCAGCCTTGCACAGAATGAGGCACAAGGACCACGTCCTGCAAGGTGAGTCGCGCCAACGGCATCGAGACTCTTCGTAACCATTTCCATGCACCTCTGCCAGGTCAAAGGTTGTCCACCTCCCTGCTTGCGTTACAATAAACAGCACTGTTTACAATAAGTTTTTAATCGGCGTAGACAAAATATGACTAAAATGTCACATTTTTCGGTGTTGAACACACGCACTTTAGTTGAAGTCTCTGCTGCAAAACTAAGCAATCGTTTTCTAAATGTCTCATCGACATCAGCCTGAACCAGTATGGTTCCAGGACAACCGTTATCGACAACCAGAATGTGTTTCGTTCCAGCTGCTTGCGCAAGCCACCTTTCACAGCCATACAACAAGACATTCCGTTCTGTAACCTGATTCCCGCGTCCCTCGGGAGTCAGGTATATGCCGCTTTGCCGCCATGGATGTCTCAAATTGGCAAACGCAACCTGAGCCTTAGTGATTCGTGTAGTGACCTCGTATGTCACAGTACTATGGGAACAATGCAACCTCCAATATAGGCAGGAGAATTCGAGGCACCTCGTAAGTGCAGCACTTCTAAAGTTTGTCTCATTATCTCGACAGTCAAAAATGGAACTGAATAGCAATAGCTGATACCCACCTGTGACAACCCTTTTTGTATAAAGATTTTTGAGGTCTCCGTGTCTAGTCCGCAAGTCCACGGACAAAGTTCTGAGCGTTTCTTGCTGAACAGTCATGTTTGGGAGAGTAAACCGACCGAAAGAGTCAAATGTGTCCTGGAAATCCAGGACTATCAAAATCCCGGTCTCTAATATGTATGGCGTTTCTATAGCACCTGATAACGGGTGTGTGAAAATATGGCGAACGCGGCCTTTCTCAGACTGAAGCCCCGTTCACTGTCATGGCTTCACGGGCTAAATACGGCACAGACCAGAGACAAATAACACAAGGAATACCGTTAATTCTCCAATTAAGCTTATTTCTCCACGATTGTCGCACATTTCCCATTTTATGGGATGGTCTTTTTCCAGAATTTGAGAAAACAGATCGGAAAAACACTGGCTGGGAACTTCTATTCCATCCTTGAACAACATCGGATCGGGATCTCGGTAAAGTCTGGGGAAAAGTATGCATTTACAGGCTTCGTGAGGGGTTCCGTGTTCACGACGATGGTTCTAGTGAAGTTCTAGTGGAATACAAACAGATGACAGCATGTAGCCACCAGAGTGGTCATTAAAAGTGCTCTACCTGGTAATCAAAGCGTCCTTCTCTATTGAAAGCTGCTCGCATCAGTTTGATCTTTGAAAAGAGATCAACCAATAGATCAGCTTCAGTTTCAGGAACCATCGCATTTGCCGACAAGGCTTTTAGTTGTATTCACGATACAGAGAAGTTATTTATACACAGTTTAGTTCCCCCTCCCAAGAAGCCATCCAAAGAACGCACAGCCTGCCGGAGAGACTATACCGAAGACATAGGAACCTTCCTATTGAATATCCCTGTGAAAAAAGCAGATCAGAGCTAATACACTTTCCAGTTTATCAAGAGGACAAAAGGTCAATGGAAGTGCTCGCGCTATTGACATGGACTTATTAAGCGGCGACCACACCGTGTGCACAGCTATTACACCGACCTGGCACACTGGTAAAGCCAGATTACTTTGATAAAAGAAACTAATCACAAGGTTCCTGAAAACACTTCCACATCCCACGACCGGCCTTCCTCTTTTTGGAGCTGATAAACGAAGGGTCCCTTTGAGTCTCCCGTGAAAACCAAATTAATTTGCGAATGAGCGTATCCATCGAAATCAGTACAATTCGGGTTCGAATGGAATATAAATTTGACGGAAACTCGGGGACTGCGCCTACCTGATGAGCCCCAAGAAGGGCGAAACCGGTCGTGGGCTGTCAAA